CGACTCCAAACTCGAAGCCTTGCTCTCGAAGCTCCTCCCTCTCACCATCTCCTCACTCTCCTCTCAGTCTCTAGCCGTCCGCAACAAGGTGCGGAGGAAATTTCTTATCTGTTCTTGTCAGTTCAAATTAGGAAGATAGTTGAATTTCGTGTTTCCGTTGGAAATTATCTGTAGACTGTTGTCTTGCATTTTAATGCTTATGAAGCTTTTATTTCTCGACCTTTTCTCTTTAGAAACAGGAATTGATTACCTTATTGCAGGATAAAATGGAGGTGTAAACATTGTGTTTTGATTGATTAGATTCTCAGTTCACTGATTTCTTTCTGCCTTGGTATTGTTAGGTTCTTGAGATCTTGAGTCATGTGAACAAGAGAGTGAAACATCAGCTTGAGATTGGTTTGCCATTGATGGACTTATGGAAAATGTATAGTGAATTGAATGCACCTCCAATGGTTAAGAATTTCTGCATTATATATATTGAGATGGCATTTGAACGGATAAATTTAAAGGTATATTCATCATTTTCTTTTTTTCTCTTTTAATTAGTGTACTTTGTTTAAGTTTTGTATTACAGCTTGCTACTTGGAGTATTTGGAATTAATCTCAGGTTCTCTTTATAGGAGAAAGAAAATTTGGCACCAATGGTTTTGACAAACATTTCAAAGCTTCCTCAGCAGCACCAAGAGATCATCATGAGGATAGCTGTAAAGGTATATTTCAAAATGTTTTCTCTCTCCTTTCTTGATTCTTCATATCATGTTCTGGATATTTTCATTTAGTCTCTTACTCTCTTTAAGCACCACTGGATAAACTTTTTGATGTTTTCTAATTCTAGATATAGTTTTTAGTTTGGTACCAACTTATTTACAGCCTTCATTAGGTTTGTTTTCCATTTATATTTTAAGTTTTGAGATATGCCTATTGATGTTTGTGATATTCTGTTGGAACAAGGTTATTGGTGAATGTCATGCAAGTAGCATTGATGAGGAGGTTGCTGCAAAGTATAGAGTATTGAATGATCCTCAGGACAGGGAGATATTTCTTGAATTTTGTCTTCATATGATTTTGTATCAACCACCATCTCAAGGGTCTGTAACACATTTCAACTACTATTATCATAAAATTTATCTTTTTCATTTCAATAGTTTTAATGCTTTCTATGCAGGGGAGGATGCCCACCTGGCCTTTCACTTGCTCAGGCCAACCGGGTTATGGGGAAGCTTCAATTGAAAGGTGACCTGCTAATGACAAGAAAGGTGAGTTGAGGTTTTTATTTATTATTGATTATTATTATTATTATTATTATTTTAATGCTGTTTGAGACTGATAAGTGGACTGTATTCTTTTAAGTTTGGAGATCATTTGTAAAAATGTCAGTTGGTTGAGCGTTTGAATTGACTTTTATCCTTTGGTTTCCTTTGGTTCCCTTGGTTTCCTGTTAGCAGTTAGGGATCTTGAATGTCATTGAGACTATGGAACTTGCTCTGGAACTCGTTTATCCTTTATACCTGGCTGCATGTGCAGATAGGTATTTTTGATATTATGTTGTATAAGTTCAATCCGTGGTTATACTTCTCTTTTTCTATTTTTGCCTATGATAATTTTGGTGGTTGATTTTTTCAAGTCAAGAACCTGTTGTCAAAAGAGGGGAGGAGCTTCTAAAGAGGCAGGCTTCTACTACTAACTTAGATGATCCAGGGTTGATAAACAAACTATTTTTACTGTTTAATGGTATGAGTTCCTTTTCTTTTCTATTGTTCTTTTTCA